TTTTCAGTTCGACGTGTCGTGAACAGTTCTTGCACACACAGACACACACGCACGCGCGCACGCACGTACACACACACGTACAGGGGGCGCAAAATCACATACACGCACGAGGACATATACACGCGCGCACACACATATGCACAGGCGCGCACACATACACACACACACGGATACAGACACGCGCCTATACGTTTCCAAATTCCTGTTCATTTTTAGGTTGTTTCCAGTTATTAATGTCGACCATATAATTTTAGCACACACTCACACAAACACAGATGAACGTATTGATTAGGTGTGTGCAAAAATGTCCAGCGGGAAGCCTGTTGTTTTCAGTATCGTTTTCAAAAAGAACCGCTGCGAATTTTTGCACACATTAAATGTGCATATATATGTGAGTGTGTATGTGCATTTATATAAACTTGCCTATATATGTATGCGCTCGCGTGTGTGTGGCACGAGCGTGTGTGTGTATTTACGTTTATGCAAATTTGCCTATATATATATATATATATATATATATATATCGTTTATGCACATTTGACTATATATACATATATATGTGTGTGTGTGTGTGTCAGTGTATATATATATATATATCCAAATGTGCATAAACGTAAACACACATACACATATAGCCAAATGTGCATAAACGTAAGCACACACACACATACATATATATAGCCAAATGTACATAAACGCGAACGCACACACACATGTATATATATATATATATACTTGCCTACATGTATACATAGGTATTTTGTTATATGTTTTGATGTCATTTTAAATTATATTTTGTATAGATGCACACTAAATAAGCATATATATATATATATATATATATGCATGTAATATGGGTGCGCATTCAAGTATACTTGGATATATATATATATATATATATATATATATATATATATATATATATATATATATATATATATATATATAAATACTACCTACATGCATGCATTCCGAATCTGTATTTATTTTGATGTCATTTTCAATTATTCATCTTGCCCATATAATTTTTTTTACACCGAGGCATATATTTTCGACTGTGCAACAAGGCGTTTGTATGTTTGTATGCCCACGTTTCTCCATGTACACAATTAACAAGTGAATAACATGATTTGGAGAAAGACTACTATATTTTGCCACAGATCACAAAATGGCTTTATTTCTAAATTTAGTCGATTCGCCAGGCAAAGCAGAAAATAGCGAATGGTACAGACATAGACAACACACACACACACACATAATATATATATATATATATATATATATATATATATATATATATATATATATATATATATATATATATGGGTTTATAAAGGTTAGTACCTACCCGTTCTAATGATTTCCATTTTCTCTCACCCGGGTAAATCAAAATTGTTTTCTTTACTACCTGATATGTCCGTATCAAATCTTTCTTTTTCTTTCTTTGCCTTTTTTTTTTTTGTTGCCTTTTTTGTTTTGTTTTTGGGCTCTTCTGGTTTTGTGGGGTCCTGGGTATTCAGAAAAAAAAATCTAAGCATGAAACAGAGTGTAATGAAGAATAGGAAAACCTTCGCACTCTCACTGAATTGACTTGTACTTAAATATTCCACTTCATCCACCGTCTACGCCTTCAACTTCTCCTCCACTTTGGTTATTGACTGGAATTGTCACTACGACCAGAGATCTGAGAGAAAAGGTTGAAACCGCACCAGCCCACACCTTCGATTGGATAAGTAATATGCAAATATTACTATGGATGCGTGCGTGTGGCTTCAAGTGCCTGGTATTTGCTTTAATGAAAAAGCGTCCACAAGACAATGCTGCTTTTGGGTTTTTTTTTAGTCATAATTTACAGTATATATTTAGAGTGTATTTAGTTCTTTTCTTTTGTTTTTTTAAAGATCTCTCTTTCTCTTCACCTCTCTCTTTCTTCACACACACACACACACACACATCTATCTATCTATCTATCTATCTATCTATCTATCTATCTATCTATCTATCTATCTATCTATAGATAGATAGATCAAGTAGCGTTTAAAACAAATGCTATATTGATGTAATATTTGGTACGATCAGCAGTCGACATAATCTTACGTTTTTATTTTTATTTTTTTTAGTAATATTCCTCTCTAGTCATAGATCCAATAATCCGTTATTGTCTCCCCCTCTCTCTTTTTTTTTATATTTTTGTTTTAATTTAAATCCTTCGATCGTTTCAAATTCTCTATCATAGTTTTTATTAAAATTCTTATTTCTTTGCTTTGCTTCCATTCCGTCAAAGGTTTTTGTTTGGCTTCGAATGTAAACAAAAATAATGATAAAGAGGAGGGGGTAGGAGGAGGAGGAGGAGAGAAAATGTGACTCGTAGTGATGCTGATACAAGTGTCGATGGAGGTGGTGGGGGGAGATATTGGACTTGCAGACGACGATGCGATAACAAGTACCAGAACGGAGGCAACGTCGTCGTCAGCGACAGGAACAAGGAGAAGAGCGTTTTTCCCTTTTCTTCTGCGTCCGTGCTTTTTTTTTTAGTTAATGTTTATTATTTACGATTCATTGTATTTGCATAAGAATGACCAAGAAAGGGGGAGGAAGAGGAAGAGGAAGAGAAAGAGTATGAAAGGCAAGAGCGAGAGGAGATAAGAAAGAAAAGTGAGGAAAGAGTATGAAACGAAGAAAGAAAGAAAGAAAGAAAGAAAGAAAGAAAGAAAGAAAGAAAGGGGATGAAAAGATTGTAAGGAGGGTGACAGCCAGGAGAAAGTGGATAAAAATATAGAGTCGGTATAAATAGAAAGTATAAAAATCTGAATATATATATATATATATATATATATATATATATATTCAGATTTTATACTTTCTATTTATATATATATATATATATATATATATATATATATATATATATATATATATATATATATAAATGAAAAGAGCGCCGAAGGAGAGTAAGGAGTGTAAAAGAAAGAACATGAAGGAAAATGCGGAGTTTGAGGCGTGAAAGAAAAGTAAAGATCGTTTTAAGAGAGCAAGGAAACCGAAAAGAAAGAAAGAAAGAAAGAAAGAAAGAAAGAAAGAAAGAAAGAAAGAAGCAAACATAATTAAAAGAGTGTAAGTGTGGTTACAATCAGGAGAAAGAAAATATACAGCATAGAAAGGAGAATAAAGAGAAAATATAAGGACTGGAAAGAAAGAGAGAGATAGAGAGAAAGAGAGAGAGAGAGATTAAGGAAAAGAACGTTGAAGGAGAGTAAGGAGATTAAAGAAAATCATGAAAGAAAGCAGAGAGTTTCAGGTGTAAAGGAAGAGTAAAGATCGTTTCAGGAGAGCAAGGAAATCGAAAAGAAAGGAAGAAAGGACGAAAGAAAGAAACAAAGAAAGAAACAAACAAAGGGAATGAAAAGAGTGTAAGATGCGTTACTGTCAAGAAAAAAATAATATACAGCAAAGAAAGGAGATTAAAGAGAAGTTAATAGGATTAGAGAGAGAGAGAGAGAGAGAGAGAGAGAGAGAGAGAGAGAGAGAAATGAAAGAAAAGAGCGTCGAAGGAGAGTAAGGAGATTCTCGGGAAACGCGAAAGAAAGCATAGGATTTGCGGTGTGATGGGAGAGTAAAGATCGTATCAAAAGTGTAAGGCAACTTAAGGGAGAGAAGGAAAAACGTAAAAGATCATAGAAGACGAACGAAGAGCAAGGAGAATGAATTGAAAAAGAGAAAAGAGAAAGAAAGAAAAAGTATAAAGACAGTGTATAGCAAGAATAAGAGTACCGAAGAGAGAGAGGGAAAGAGAGAGAGAGGGGGAGGGAGAGAAAATAGTGTAAGGAGAGTAAAAAGCGAGGAGGTAAATGAATAGAGTAAAGAGGGGGGATGAGTAGTAAGAAGAGCAAACGTAGAAGAAGATAGAAGAAACGAGAAAGAAGAGTAAGGAGAATGGAAAGAAAGTAAAGAGAGTAAGTAACGGGAGTAAAAAAAGAAAAGAAGGAGAGTCAGGGAGGAAAGAAGAGCAAGGGTGTTGAAAGGAGATAGAGATAGAAAGAGAGAGAGAGAGAGAGGGGGGGAGTGCATGACATGAACGTATGCGATTTCATTTCCGTCTTTTTAAAGCAATGCTTATATGCTGTGAACGAACGCGTGCTTACATCATAGGTTTGCGTGCGTAAATGGAGTTTGCTGGCTTCGACGAGTCATTGTATGCGAATGCGCCTTTCATTTACGATGTGTGTGCGAGCTTCCAAGCGTGCATTTATGTTTAATACGTGCAATATCTAAAACATTCTCGCATTGTATGCGCATGACTCGATATGTGTATGTGTGCATTGTCTATGTGTGCATTGTGTATGCGTGTGTGTTTTATTGTCTCATTTGTTGGGTCTGCGTCGCACGTTAAGCATCGGATTTGTGTTTCCTAGTAGATGAGGAATGATTATGAAATGAACAGGTTTGGTGCTAGAGTCAAGATTGCTTCTCGTCCAATCAAAGTCTTTGTAGCATTATTCGTTTTGTTTCTTTTTATTCTTTCTTTCTTTCATTTTTCTTTTTCTTTCTGTCTTTCTTGTTTTATTTGTTTGTTTCTTTCTTTGTTTTTTTTTGTTTTCGTTTTTCTTTCGTTTTCCTTTCGTTTTTCTTTCTTTTTTCTTTCTTTTTCTTTTTTCTTTCTTTCTTTTTTCTTTTTATTCTTTCTTTCCCTTTTCTTGCCTTCATTTTTCTTTTTTTTTCTTTTTTCTTTTTCTTCTTTCTTTTCCCTTTTTTGTTTCCTTTTTGTTTCCTTCTTTCTATCTTTCATTCTTTTTCTTTTCTTTCTTTTTTCTTTTTCTTTCTTTTTTTCTTTTTCTTTCTTTTTTCTTTCCTTCTTTCTTTTTCTTTCTTTTTATTCTTTCTTTCTTTCCCTTTCCTTTCCTTCATTTTTCTTTTTTCTTTTTCTTTCTTTCTTTCTTTCTTTTTTTCTTTCTTTCTTTCTTTCTTTCTTTCTTTCTTTCTTTCTTGCTTGCTTTCTTTAAGTGAATTTTCATTCCAGTATCTTATATTCAAAACACAATATATATCATACATCAACTGTGATGGAATAATTCTTTGTCTGCGATGTTTATAAATCTTTTGATATCTCCTTTGCATTGGCGACACCAGGTGACAGTGTCATTGCCATGACAAACGGTGAACTGCAAAAAATATATTTAAAGACGCACACGTGAATGCCACCGAATAATATTAAGGACTCAACAAAGCATGCCGGCATCGGTAAACTCGTATTAATATAAGATTTTACTGAACATAAAATGAGTGATCCGTTTCCTATTGTTGTTAAGTAATAAAATGACCCCCTTGAATTACTAAATATTAATAATTGGAAAATATATTTAAAGATTCACATGTTTTCTTGTTTTTTTTTTTTTTTTAAATCTTTTCGCTCCAAACAAAGGGGGAATACCACTAGGATGCAGGGAGTTACAGGGAATGAAAGATTTTTTTTAAGCATTTCACCCCAAGTAAGGCGGGATGCCACTAGTACGCAAGGGGTAACAGGGCGGGAGTGAGAATAAAGAGGCGTGATGGAGGAAAGGATGAAGAGAAGGACAGGGAATAGATCAGGGCATCTAGAGATGTTGATTGATATTACATTTGAATAGTTGGAGATTATAGCTATCAGGAAAACAAGAAGGGAATTCCACAGACGGGAGGTTCGAGACATGAAGCTATTGGAGATGGCCACATTTAATCGTTCCGACAGTGAAACGGTGGGACTGTGATGCCAGCCGACACTGAGAATAGGGAGAATTGAGGAAAAATTGAGATAAAGAGGATTAAAAAAGACAGAAGATGGCGATTGACTTTACGTTTAAATTCTTAAAGATTGTAGTTGACAGGGAAGCAAGTAAACGGAAAGGAGTTCCACAATTGGGAAGTACGAGAAACGAAGCTGTTAGAGTAGAAGCGGCTGCCTTTAGGCATTTCAACAGTAAATGGTGGGACCTATATGCCAATTTAGTAGCACGCTTTTGACACGTGTAAACTAGTATCTATATGAGATATTACTGGACATAAAGTGGGGGATTTGTTGAATATTACTATTAAGTAATAAACTGATCCCCCACTAGAATTACTACAACTTACGTGAGAAAAATATAGCAAATTAAGCAGCGTCTAGTCTGGTCAGTACCAAGATGCGTGAATGCTTGGCAATAACAGATACTGTAAGCTTGGGCGTGCAGGTGGTGCAAATGATAATGACGCAGAATTGTTAAGCAGAGGGCCGAGTTTCGATCCCAGTCGGTTTCGTTATATATATATTTACGCGCAAATACCCTTGGGAGAGATATGAATCTACCGCTTCTCTTCCCAGCGATGTATTCGCTAAATCATTATTATCTCCCCTCAAAATTCTTACAATTTAAAAATATGTCTGGCTTTAAATAACCCGCCAAAGATTGATAATCAGTAGAAAATGAATGAATGAATCAAAACCTACTGTAGTGGCCAGCCAGTTCGTAATGTAGACGCCAGCTCAAGCACATTTGTGTTTGTTCAACACCTACAGAGCTCAACCGTAATTTGTACTGCATCTATGCTGAGTGTACATTAGGTACAGTTTCTGGGGGGAGAGTGCACATTCTGTCGTGAACAGAAGTAAGTTCAATGCGCTCAAAACATCGGTCCCGATGACTTTATGTTAACTCTCTACCCGATTTAATTCTGGGTCAACGTTTTGAGGGAACAGAGTGGTAACCCTGCTTCAGTGTTTTCATTCATGAGGGATATAACAGAGTGGTAACCATGCTTCAGCGTTTTCATTCATGAGGAATATAACAGGGTTGTAACCTTGATGTGAACCCAAAATTGGGACCACGGAAGGAAAACATGGAACAGGGATTAGAGATAAGAAAGATATATTAAACTAAAAGGTTACAAAGATAGTGTAAGTGTAAGCGGAGCTTACTATGTACTAGTGTCCAATATTGGTAGTCGTACGCGGCTGATACTACGGTATTAGAATACTCTCTCTCTCTCTCTCTATCCTCCTCTCCTCCTGGAGTGTTATATCGCATACTTTATATAGTCCTGGAAGAGTCCATGTTGTAGGTATGTTACGGTCTAACAACAAACCTGCTCCACAGTTTCAATTCATGAGAGATATAACAGAGTGGTAACCCTGCTTCAGCGTTTTCATTCATGAGGAATATAACAGGGCGGTAATCCTCCTTCAGCGTTTTAATTCATGAGGGATATAACAGAGTGGTAACCCTGCTTCAGCGTTTTCATTCATGAGGGATATAAACGAGTGGTAACCCTGCTTCAGCGTTATAATTCTTGAGGGATATAACAGTGGTAACCCTGCTTCAGCGTTTTAATTCACTAGGGATATAACAGGACGGTAATCCTCCTTCAGCGTTTTAATTCATGAGGAATATAACCGGGTGGTAACCTGCTTCACTGTTTCAATTTATGAGAGATATAACAGAGTGGTAACCCTGCTTCAGCGTTTTAATTCACTAGGGATATAACAGGGCGGTAATCCTTCTTCAGTGTTTTAATTCATGAGGGATATAACAGAGTGGTAACTCTGCTTCAGCGTTTCAATTAATGAGAGATACAACAGAGTGTAACCCTGATTCGGTGTTTTACTGCGCAAAGGTTATAGCAAGGAGTAACCCTGAGTTAACGTTTTAATGCATGAAGGGCCAAACTGGGTGGTAACCCTGGTTCAGTGTTTTACTGCATGAGTGGTATAACAGTGGGTTAACTTTTTAATGCATGAACATGCCTAATGATGATTTGAAGTAGGTACTAATAAAATTTAAAGTGTGAGAAAATTCAGTGAACCTAATTAATCATTGAGGAGAAAAACGGAAAGAAAGAACGAATTAAAAATAATTCGAAGCTATAAAATGAGTTTGGAGAAAACTCTGCTAATATTTGAACCTGAATTAAATCAATTAGTATTCGTTAAGATTTTGTAAGACTAGATATTCCCCAAGCAACCTAAATGTCTCCAGTATGGCAATATTTATGGTCTTCTAAAATACTCAGAGAGAAGTGGGTCGATACACGGAGGAAGCCAAATGTCAAGAAAGGCAAAATTCAGTTTTAGTCCTCTTCCTCTGGTTACTGCTCAGAGGTCTCTTCATTTATTACGAATTACTGCTAGAATAATTTTCTTGCTGAAAGACCGTCATCCAGGCTACATAGAAAAATTATTATTTACTCATATATTTTATCACTAAACAAATTGTTAGATGTCAACAGTATTTGTTGGTTTGTACTTGAAATATGTTTTCAGCAAAGAAGTTACCACGTCTGCGAGGATTTCACACCTGAAATCTCTGCAGAATCACAAGGCTCACTGGACGAAATCCCCATAGGATCTAGCTACCTGTTAGCTTGCTGAGGTTGACCTGCGATAGCCGGAAAGCTAAAAAAAAAAAAAAAATACCGCCAAACAAGGAGAACAAGAATATTACATTTTTGGTCGCGCTAGGATAGAGAGCGACAGATTGACGAAATAAAACTAAAAACGAGCAACAGCAACCGTCCAGCCATACATATATATATATATATATATATATATATATATATATATATATATATATACACTGTCTCAATCCAAAATGTGACCGCTAACATAAACCAGTGACCGGAAGTTTTCAATGTCCTGTTTGTTGTCACCTGTTCCGAAAAGCTTTCAATAACTTATGTATTATTATGATCTTTTGATCAAGTGGGTGACCACTTTTGAAGATCCCACTTCCCAGACTTAATTGCTGGTCAAAAAACCATGAAATACCTAAGACTGAGATAAAATAACTCATTATCCCCGCCATAGTCACAGATGAATTCCTCTCTGTGGAAAAAATTGTTACTCATTGTTATCCAACGAGGTTTTCTGAAATTTTACGAAGACCAAAGACGGGTAAGCAATGCGTTACTGTACTGCTAACACAGATCTTTAACCTTATTAGGGGAACCACTCTTAAAGACTGGCAACCCTGAATTCAAAACTAGCCTAAAGTGGGAGGAAATCATATTATAAACGCCTCCTTCTTGATACGGCCGTTGATTGTTTGATTGATTCGTTTTCTACGGCTTACCGCCTCTTTGCAGGTTATTTAAAGCCAGAAAACATTTTAGGCTGTAAGAATTTTTTTTCAAATTAGTGATATAAGTCTTACTAACCCTTATTAACCCATAGCTGGGGGAGAGGAGGTGGATTCATAACTTTCCCAAGGTTATTTGCGTGTAAGTGAATATAAGGAAACCGACTGGAATTGGAACTCGGCTCTCCGAATAACAACTCCGAGCCATTATCTATTATATTACACACACACCCAAGCTTACATCACCTAGTATCCCCAAGCGGTAACGTACTGACCAGATTCGTCGTTGCTTAACTTCGGTGATCGTACAGGAACCGATGTTTCAACGTGATATGGCCGTAAGTTCTTGATACGGCTGTAGTACATGTGATGCTCCAAGGACCCTAATAGGGGAGGAGATTCGTGATCGACATCGACAGAATATGGATTGTTACTATACAGGGTGAGACAAAAATCGCCCACCTGAGGAATAATTTAATAAAAGTATTAAACGTACTGTTTTTTATAGTTCACACAATATTTTTATTGTTTACACACTACAAGGACAAAGTGGCATTCAAGCTATAGGATTCTTTTTGGAGTCTGTTTCACAGTGTAACAATTCAGGGGGAATAAGCTGTTTAAGTGACACTTCTTCCTTACAAATGGAATACAAAGGAAATGACAAAAAGTCGATTCAATATACATGTTATGACAGATCCTAGCTGTAACATTTTGGACTAGTGTCGTCTTTCCCAATGTGGGTCGCACGCCTCACGAGGGGGGGGGGAATTTGATTTTAAGGGGGAGAATGAGTTATTATCAGCAAATGTTTTCTAGTGAGTCTGTGTGAGTATGAGTATGATACATACGGTGCATATACAGTATGCATGCATAAAAAATATTTATGTGTATGCATGTACAGGGTGTGG